CCCCACGTCGCATATCCATCCATGGATTGATCGAGTAGGTCACCTGAACTCGAGCAGTTTAACCGGAAATTCCCGTAGAACACCAATGCCATTAGCCCATGGCCATTGGCTATAAGTAGTGTGGATTGCTGAAAATTGTAATAAAAACCTGGAAATAGGTTGGGCGGCACATCAGGATCCGTTTTGCCGCCTTGGCGGCTTCCTTGAGTGGTGCGCTAGCGGACGCCATCTGTGGAAGTACAACTGTTACTTTTGCAAAAAATGTTCAATTTATTAGGTGATTTGAATGGGCTTGAATATATAGTTCAAAAACAAATAGAAAGAATGGAATAAAGAAAGAGTGGTTTCAAATTAATTTAAGCGACGGAAGTGTAATTAGCCACTGAACGCGCTGGGTAGGTGTACGAACACATGAGACGGAATAAAGTGCAAGATAATAGAACGATGATGGACGAATCAGTCCTCTTATATGGCATTGTGATGGGCGAAGACCAAAACACGACTGCGCGATGAGCGCTGAGACGACCGACGGTTGGCTGAAACGGAAAGGGAACAGCGGTGAGAGAATCGACAAGGCACACAGGCGGTCGGCGGGTCCTTCTGTGACATATCTATATCGCTTAATGAAACGAGATTGTTCAGCAGCTTTATCTGGACACCAGGATACTTTGAACCCTATTGGTGGTCGATTCGAATATCTACGGGAAATGAAGCGATCCCCTTTAATGGAACGCATTGTCACTGTGCCAGAACTGGGCAGGCTAGTCTGGTCTGCCGGAACAGATCACTGCTGTTTGATCTGTACTTGCTCTCTTTTAATAAATAGGATGAGCTCAGCTGGAATGCCATCGGAGATGAATATTTTCTGGCATGATCATCGTTCTATTCGAATTCATAGAAAATAAGCGAAGTAGCATCCGATTTGAAGCAGTCACCAACAGGGCAACCTACGATCGTGGACTCTTTAAAAGGACTAACAGTTGCTACAGAGTGGAAGGAGCGGGCGTATTCGGGTTTCCTGAGGATCTTAGATAAGGATGGAAGAGGATAGATAGGGAATCGGAACAACGGCGCGAGAGGTGGTACCGGCTCCCCAGCTATTAAATTAAGGGGCGGAGTTACAGTGTATCATTTTGGCCTAGATTAAACGACTATATTGATACCATTCAATCAGAGGGAGGGGGTAGGGTGGGATCGTGTTCATAATGACCGTGTGTGGAGGGAGGAACCGTACCGTGAACAACTAGAGGAAGTCTTACAGCCGTTGTCATTTTCTCGACACACTGATCAGCATGGCCATTGGACAGTGACGAGTTCAGGTGGACTAGCTCACTCTCTTTCTGGAAAAGGATAAGGAACACATGACAGCCGAATAGAAGGAATAAGGAAACATGACTGGCCAACTAAAAATCGGTTTTTGAAGTACCTCAAGGTGGAGCCTAAGGTCATCATTGAAGGCATTTCCCAGATCAAACTGGTGCGACTTTTGCGCAGAATACGAATGTATTGGCGCAATTTGCTAGAAGTGAAGGAAGAAGGAAAAGAATCCGTCGAAAAGATTACGTTAGGTTAAAGGTGCGTTCACTTTGTGATGCTTTTGTGCTAAGCAATGAGAGACTGGGCGCGGTGAGGAGAGCGCGAGGCGAGAGAGGGAGGAGACAAGAGGGCGCAGAGAGCTTGCTGCAGATAGGGAGCATTGCAACTGCTGCACACAACTTTCCGAGGCCCTACCGTCACGTGTGGGTTTCACATGCACTAGAGCGTCACATCACTGATAGAACTCTAGAGGTCTATCTCACAGACCGAAGAGAATCGTTCACATGACTTCTGCTGAGTTGTGCTCTCAAGAGTACCTGAAGTAGGTAAGGGATGTAAAACATCTATTGATGCTTTGAAAGTAAAAGGGCAACACACTCCTCGTAAGCGATTATCGCTGAGTCCAGAATTTGTCAAAGGCATCAGGCAAAGCGACGGGTACTCGCAAAGGGCAGCCGGCTTTACTGGCGAGTCATTACGATGAGCAAGTTATTCGTGCAAATCTTCTTCAAGTTCCGAGACCTTGCAGGACATCTTCGCTAGGAGATCAAAAAAGCTCACCCGCAATAGGGATTCAAATGAACGCCAGTTTCTTCGTTCCACACTGCTATGCCGTCAACCATTTTTTAGTGCACAAACGCAGAAGTAAAAGAAAAATCATTGCCGGGTAGACTGATTAGGTTGTCTGGCTGTCCCCTGACTGTTCGGAGTGGCCCTCATCCCTTCTGGGGGGGGGGTCTTTCCACCGTTTTCATCCTGGACCTCCTATGTAAGCCTGCACAAGCCACCATGTTTGGACTTGAAGCCTAGCAGCGATCTTCAAAATGTGTGTAGAGCAAGGTTTTACTATATAAGTGCTGGAACGGAAAAACTTGCAGAAATTTTGAAGTTCCACAACCTTCGAAAAATGTTTTTTTTTCTTTGCTCATTTCTTTCCGGTATTCCGAATCTTCTCCTCACCACCGGCATCTGGTCGTCATTGACCTTGATTTGTAATTTTCAAAGGAAATAATTAGTATGTTCTAGCTAGATCTTCGAGTCAGATAATCAAGTGCTTTATAGAAAGGCCAATAAACCAAATTATCACAAACGAACAGATTCATGGTGGGTCAGCTACCTACATACCCTGCTTCGGGAAAAAAGAACAGCGTCGAGTGCGGACCACACACCACAAAAGACGACAGCCAAGAAAGGAAAGGAAAACCATTTCTTTACTGGCCGCCGTCTCTTGTGATATGTGGCGCCCGCACCCGACGCTCTTCTCGTTTTCCGAAATAAAGGGTCATACAAAGAGCCGGTTGACCCTAGTGATTGTGCCATAATCAGTTCTTCAGTCTGCTGATTGCAGCTTTACTTTTTAATTACTCATGTGTGACCCATGCTCATGAAACATACAAAAACTAATCAATTAGGACCACAATTCATCGGGCAGTTTGCGCAGGGTCGCAATACCCTGGCAAGGATTATTGCCTTCCAAATTGGGTTCGAAATCAGAGTGTGAAATAAGACCGGTTCGAGAATTTTTCTGTTATACAATCAACAAAGTAATTCGTCTTCACTTAACAGAACGCTCATGAAATAGCTCAATGAGAACAATACATTTCTATCGAATGAAACGAATAGCTAAAGCATCAAAATTAGAGGTAAGCTAGATTATTCGAATGTCGTTCAGTCGTAAATGAATATCATTTCAAATGGTGAAATTTAATTCCATTAGAACAGACGCACAGAATGTCATGAAACGCGTACCTCAATAACCTGCGGATTCCATGGGAACGGTTTGATTTTTTTTTCTGATTTCCTGGAAAAACGTGAACAATTCTGTAATTCTTTAGGGAAACAACTGCGAAACAACAGTGAATTGTCCAGTTACATTAAGATAATAGCAAATGACGGAGATATGCGACCATAGTTACTGAGGGACAAGCTTGCTAGTGGTAATCGATACGTGCTAAATGTACAGAAGAGAATTGCCTTCTTATCCATTACTTATAGATATGGGGAGCAAACCACTAGAGAACTGTCAACTCTTATCTTAACTTTCACTTCGTAAGAATTGCTCAAAAAGATTCTGATTTGTTGCACATTAACAACATAAAATGTGGTCAGGTAAATTCATTATTATTTCGGATCGAGGTCGAAGAAAGCGCCTTTTCGGAAAACCAACAATGAAGAATTTCCATATTTCTGCGGAATTTTTGAATGTGGTCAAAATTCTCAGAATGGAATGCGGCGTTTTAATTAGCCTGGCCAGGGCAGAGTGCATGCACGAAAAAGGGCAATGGATGGCAGTCTGGTTCGAGAGCAAGATTGTGTGTATGTGAACGAAGTCCACTTAGTGAATAACTTTGATGTCCTCAGAAGACCCGTGCCGAAACACATGGAGTTTTGTTTGGGCCAAGCTCATTAACGAAGTCTCTTTCGAAATAATGTGACAGACACAAACCATCTATGCATATCCTATACATATTGGCGCGGGTGAAATTGCCCATGCAAAAAGTGTACACGACGCAGTTTCACGTGAAATTCAGGAGGGTTCAGTGGGAAATGCGGCATATCTTTTCAATTTTTTTTCCTTCAAATCGTTTTCAGCAGGAATTGCCTGTGAATTTGATGAATTTAACTCATAGACGAGTCTATTTGAGCCCTGACTTTGATCAATGCAATCAATGAATCACCAAACCTAAAAAGGAACTGTGTTCTCCTCCTTCTAGTAACCACATATTTTCCTTTAAATATCTCGTTACTCCATCGATAAATGCAGTCATAAGTGCAAAACCATTCTACTCTAGAAAGCTCAAGTGCACTTCTAACAACGGCAATCACACCATTTCAGAGAACTCGGCATGCGCCGGATATCCTGGGACTCATTGTGATTCATGACTTCAGGGCTCATTCAAATTCATGAGAATTAAGTGAAATTCGATCTCTCAATCAACAAAACAAAACGAAAACGATCAGAAAAGCGTGGCCGTCGCCCACGGGTGCGAAAAGAAAGGCTGGTTCCTAGGCGTTCCACGCCATTGTCATAGGAGAAAAAATAAATCCACTTAGACATATCTGATCATGCACCTTATGGGTGCTTCTCTTCCGTGAGCCACGATGTCAGAAATCGAATTTTCACTGGTCATCTCATCTGGTTTAATCTTGCTTATCTTGCTTTTATGATCTTTCTTTTTTTAATGAAGCTCAACGAACAGCATTATAATTTTGATTGAACGTCGATCTTCGCGCTAGAAAATTGGCGTTTTCCGAGTGTATTTAGTTGAGCGAATGGCTCATCTGCACATGTCCGTCGGATCTCTAATCAAGCTTGAGCGATATGTGCTCTTTGTTTGCTTCAGTCTTCATTTGATGTATTTCTCGATAGCCGAATTGATTCCTTAGCGCTTTCAAATACTCGTCATTTGACTAATATGGTCGCAGCTTACTACTAGTTAGGAGTTTCCAGAGGGTTTACCTCGATGAGATACACCAACACGACTCTGCCTCCGTGGTTCGACTATCTTGAACTGGCGGTGAATTATTCTTGCATGACCTACATGGCAATAACCTTACCACTGTATATTGCCGTTGTAACAATTATGATTATTCTCAGAAAACGTTCTTATAAAGGTCAGTTCATTTTTATGTTAAATGCTTGGAAACTCAACTGTAGTTTGGATATGTTCAAGAATAACTTTAAAAATGATTTAAGCGAGATAGCATTTGCAAGAAGTAAAAAATGGAACAATAATCTTGAAACAATTTAACACGTTGATGACGAACAATTTTTTTGTTTGTGCACGTACGGGGCGAGGCACATTTCGGGCCACGTTTATTATATGATTATGTATCATAGGGTCTTTCTTGATTTCGGTTGTGATCAAGCAGTAATTTAAATCATCAATGCAACTCCGAAGCAGAAGGAAGGGGTGAAACTCCAGTTCGGGGGGGGGGCTACTCCATTACTATCTTATCCGTAGACTCATTTCGAGCGTACTTTTGATAAAGACCGGTGGATGTCCTACATTCCACACTACCTGTCCACATCCCATCGACTTTTCTGCACAGGTGATCCACCCTGGAGCTCCTCCACCCTTAGCCCTTTGCGGAGGTGTCCTTTCTTCTGGTCCAGGACCGTTCCCTTGGATCATGGCAGGTTTCGAAATGTGAAAGCGTCAGAGTTTTCTCGCACCCCATCGGTACAACAGCTGTCGGAATGTGCCGCATGCCAGTGGAACCAATTTATCAGAAGTCTATTTAATTGCAACGGTACGTGTCGTGAGCGCCCGAGTGCCTATGATCTTAGGAGTATTGGGATAAACATAGGAGGGCCCTCCTCGCCCACTCCCGCCGCTACCCACCCCGGAACTGGACTTTACCACCCGAACGAGGCATCGCGCTTGCTGACGTGCCGCCTTCGAAGCGATTTGGGTGGGTAGACTACACGATCCTCGGAATCATGTTTTTCAAACCATCGCTATATCGTAAGAATTTCTGAAGAACCGTGCGATAGTAAATTAGGGTCCGACTGTATTCCTAACAAATAACAGTTATACGCACTGTTTTGTGGATGAAACAGCTACGGGAACTAGGCGCAAACAGTTGGATCGAGGAGATTATGGTTTTTGAAAGGAGGAGCTCGCCTAGAATTGAAGAGAACTGATCCGTGAGTGAGCATCCACGAGAAAGTAAGAGACCAAGCTTGCGCAATTCCCTTCTATAGAAGTCATGACACACTTGCCCTCCGGCACCCATTCCTCGAGGGAAACTTTCCATGCTCATAGAGGCATGCTGGTGGATTAACGCTGTTCCGGCTTCCTCGTATTTGGTTGCTCACCCGCACCTAATGGTGCCTCGCTCGTCATGCGAGTCTGTCTGCCTCAATAATCAGTTGTCGCGACGTCCGTCCGTAGGACCGGAGCTGGCGGGCCTGTGTAATAATGAATGGAATTATCCCTAATTGATTTATTCATCGATCCTGGTGTAACTTTAAAAACTAAAATTGTCGGTCAACTACAGACTGACATCGCGAGTGTTAAGTGCGTTGTGAAAGAACAAAAAAGAAATGACCAGAAAATAAAAGCATTCAGCGGAAGATAGATTGATTATAGGACGCCCTGAAAGCACGAAGTAATAATTAAGAATCCTTCGCACGGACCATGGGCCATCCTGGTGGCCGAGACGGAAGTGGGCTTTGCACGAAATCAGTAGTAGGATTCACGTTCATGAGAAGGTTGAGTGATCGCTGTTTCCACGTCGGCGTTCCCACGTGATTCCGTACTACCATGCATTTCGGGTGACAAAAACTTTCCGGTCCCGCCCTCGCTGTTCCATGGTCGTGAAGAGTTCCTTTGAGAACTTTCGCTTCAATCTCAATAGTTTTTCAAAAGTTCTGCCCCATGCTAACTCCTAAATCCGAAAATTGAGATTGAATTATAGGCTCTCCTGGTGTTGGATCCAGAGGAGAAATATGAAGGAAAGTAACATTGGTTACGCTTGAAAGTATTACATATATCTGAAGAACCGATTACACTCATCGAATTCCCAGCGTCTATTGGTATAGTCGAGGCACTCCATTTGTTTTTAACCTCAGTTCGGAAAATTATGTTGGTAGCTATAGCCCAATGCCATACTGTAAAAGCATGCTAATGCGACTAAGCAATTCGAATTTTCTGATGAACCTCTGTTCCTATCTCGAAGTTAGTTAGAGTCTTGCCAAAGCTATTGGCCAATACTTATATGACTTTTATTACCAGGCATGTTCTATACTAAGGATAAATCCAATCTAATCGTATGTGAGTGATATGTATATATCTGCAATTGCTAGATTCCTGAAAATGAAATTGTATTAACGGTAAGTGCTATTAATTTCCTTCCATGGGGGAGGAGTGATGGTTCGTTCGATTCATCATTGCTTTGAGTTTTTCTTTTGTTACCGTTGATCATAAAAAGCTGTTTTCGGCCTCATCGATCAAAGCTTAACATAAGTTACCTGAGACGGCAACTTAGGCGATTCAGTGGATTATCAGTAAACATTTTGAAATATGATTGACCGGTAATTGGTCGTAATGCGGAGCAGAAGGTTGAAAGCGATAAGATCTAGATGACGAGTTGGCTCGGACCGAGGTATTTGCACCCTTTGAGAGATGAAAATTGTTTTCGCCGTCTCCTGGCGATGGTAACTGCGATGGAAAAACGAGAAGCGGAAATGCATGGCTCCACGCTCCTGTCGATCAGCGTGATCGGCATACGCCTAAAAGCTGTGTTCGCGCGCCCAGTAACACAGAAACTAGGTCTACTCGGGTGCCGATTTCCCAAGATCAAGGTTTCGGGTTCATCTCCTGCAAGAGGTCCTCGGATGGGTTCCCTTTGTCCATCGTCTGAGGGGAAATGGTGGAAGAAGTACGAGGAGACAGCGATACCTACTTACCAGTTTCTCTTAGCCCTCGTCTATCATTTAACAGGAATAAAGCCTGCCTTTTACCGTCGCTCGGCGGCCAAGCCTGAAAGGGCGTTTCAAGAGAAAGAGAACACTGGACGCACTGCTCCTCTGCTTGAAGGATAACTGTGCCCGAGTTGGGCTAACAATAAGGAAACCCCATACAGTTTATCAAGGGAGTGCACATCGTCGTCACACCGAGTATCAACTGAGCCTGCTGCTCTTCCTCCTAACCCTAGAGGTCATCGTAAAGGGGCGAACGGGAAGGGGGTCATTGGAGACCATCCTCTATGCATGCAACATACAAACTGGCAGCAGATAGCAGAGAAAAGCTGTAGGGTGTGGTACAATAGCAGGAAGTGATGCAATAAGGTGGCTCCAGCTAAGCTTGGAGAAGGCTAAGCTTCTAAGTTCCTAAAGAGTACGGAACTAATCTTATACAGTTATGAGGAAAACGTCAAACGAGTGGGGAACACTCAATACGCGGTTCCTCGACAGGAATGATTGTTGGGAAGAAGGACGAAAAAAAGAGAATGAACCCATCGCTGATAGTCAGCATCTTTCAGAAAGTTCACAAAGGATTCGGGGAATTACAAGGCAAAAAAGAGCACTGTAAATGTTATTCATTATTTCAGTTGGTTTCTCGACTTCTACATGTCACAAGGTACCACTGTTGGTCATATCTACTTAATAATTGCATGGACTACTCGCTGTAGTCAAGGATGTACTGTAACGCTTTTGGCTCTGAACAGGGCTACCGCGGTGTGCAGTCCAATAAGGCATAAACAGGTATGTGTATGAACATTGAATATGATATGTCAAGAGAACAAGAAAACGACTGCAGGATTGAGCCGCACAAGAAAATGACATAGCTTTCAATTTGTCAAGTAGTTCAGAAGGAATAATATATCCGCCTACTCTTGAGACATTTTCCAGAGATTTCGTTGATAAAAAAGGTTAAGAAGAGAAGCATTTCAGAGGCGATGTTCTGATTGCCCAGCATGTTGAACAGTTAATCGAAACATCTTTTATATTTTTCCATTTTGATCTCCCGGTATGATTCTGTAAGCGAGGCGAGCGCTGAAATCTGCGATTGTTCTGACAATCCAGCAACCACAGATTTGGCCCGCATGCTCTTTGTCTCTCCGACCTTACCCCGTCATGCAGTTTTATTAGGTCGTGAAGAAAATTCTTGAGCTTTTTTACCTTGATTTTCAAATGTCTGTATCTCGGCCCATTCGAAACCTTTTTGACTGTAGTAGCGATTATTAGAATCCCCATACCTCTGCCAATAATAGCTGTGTTGAGTCAGCCCGGTAGTGCAGAATACTGGAACTCTAGAGACGATGACCTCAGCGGAGGTCGCTTCCGCATCATGTTGGTCTTTGAAGCATAACTCTTTGGAGAAGCTATTCAGGTAGTCGAGAATGTGAGAAATCATAGGCAAAAGGTCTACCGAGTCTGACATTCGCAGAACTGATTCGTAGCTAATCTTGTCCACCTTCTGCAGGGTTGGTTGTGGAATGTGCGTCCGAGCTACCTTTCAAGAACGAGCCCGTTCCTCTATAATGAGAAATTTCGAGCATATGTGCCGGAGTTCTAGGAGTAGTTTGACACATTATCAGGAGTACTTCTCCCAATCAACAGATCCACCTGGCTACCAAAAGCTAGACCAGCTGCTGACCTTATCAAAGTCACCTCAACCTCCCTTCAGTGAAGTTTCACTTTTGCAAAGTTTGTAAGGCTTGATCGCGGTCGATCACTTCACCAAAGGTACGTACGCTGTAGCCAAGGGTCTGCTCTTTATCGTACGTTGCAAAAGATTGAAAAGTCAGGTAGTCTTCATGGCACGAAACAAGCTGGATCGCGGCGAATGACCCTACAAATGGTGAGCTGCCGCGGCGCGCCCTATTTGGATTTTTAGGAATTTCCAGCTCCTACCGTACAACAAGAAAACACAGTGCAAGTGTGATTAGTTTAGGAACCCTCTAATACGTTTGTGCTAACGTGCTTCAACCAGCATATTCGACTAATCGTTGGCGTTGTCCAATCTCCGACAACCACCCTCACAATCTTTAAGGCTCTCGCTATTCTTACAAAAGCTTTTTGAACAATTGCTCCAGACCATATTTATTGCGAATCTCAGCCAAGTACATCTATAATATCTTGACCTGTTTCCTCTGCATACTGGCCTGCTTTAAGCTAAAAAAGGAAATCATGCAAATTCTGGAGTACGCCGTATTCAGGGCATCTAAAAATGACAACATATAATAAGGAACACAGCTAGCCTGCCTGATAGGTAGGACAAGAAAAGCTCTTCAAAACCACATACAGCTCATTGGCAGCTTGCTTGAATTCGTAACAAAATAAAGCGTTCGAAAACGAAACACCAAAAAGCGCAAGAACTTTCTTCACGACCTAATAGATACCAGATTTGGATCAAGTTGTGTGCAGTTGCTCTACTAAACCAAGTGAGTGTATCCTATAGGGTCAGATTGCTAGTCCTCCGCATAATTTTTTACTAGAAAAAGGATTGAATTACAATAAGATAGATGCAGCCGTATGAAATAAATGTTCGTCAAATTGAGGTGTAATTGCGAAAGCCAAACAGAGCCATATTTCAACACAAAAACTGCACCCCATTTCGTGGTACGGTAGCTTAGTCAATTTTCTTTTTATTCCATGCAACGAAATAGGCTGTAATGTATTTTTTCTTTCTTTTCTTACGAGAAAATGAAATCAAAAGGCATTGCTTCTTATCTCAATCATCGTCGTTCTGGTGAACCTTTGAGGTATAGAATTTATTAAAAATTGCCTATTAAAGGAATCCTTCTCGGAAAAATCTTGGTTCTATCTCACCTATAATTCACTGGCTTGGAACACATCTTTCACAATAAGAAAGAAAAGAACCAAAAATTGCATACGTTTTGTTAAAAAAATTCGAAAACCGAAACGGTTGTTACGCATTCAAAGTACCGCCGGGCATCTCTCGGTAATTCTGACGATGGGAATGCTTCCTGTGTTCAATGCTCAGTCACCGGAGACTTTTTGTGGTCTTCTAGCTTATTGTACTTACATCTCACACTTTTACTGCATCCTTTTCAATAGATCAATGTGTCTCTACTCTCCAAAATCTCACTCTTTAATACTGTTTGACTCGATTTTTTCATGAGACGTGGCCGCCCCAAGGTAGACTTCTATTTGTGTCCCGCTTTTGGCTCCGCGCCTATTAGCTTCGTTGTCTTGGTTTTGGGTTTTTTTTGTAAGTTTGTTTCTCTTCGGAAACTGGATCTTTGTGCATGAAACTTTGTATGTTGTCTCTAATGATCATGACTCACAGATATTGAAAAAAAAATGCAAAACTCTTCGGGAAAGATTCCTTTAAGAGCAACGGGGCCGCGAGCGCCTGATCCTTCTTTGTTACTAAGCGAAATACCCCGTTTTTCTAACCATTACCAACAACGCGGGACACATACGTCCCGCACTCTACTTGAGGAGACCCTTTGCGCCTAATTTTGCCACCAAATTCATGCTCCGAAAGTAGAACATGCGGAAGCGGAAGATTGGGAAGCGGTTCTTTCAGGTGGAGGTTCCTACAGAGACATGCGAAACGGTCGAGGAGCAAAGCATAGGGTGACGAACCTGCTCCCTGTGCTCCCTGAATAATATGTATATTAACTGCTGATGAATGTTATCATTATTGTCAGTTGGTTTTCGATCATCTACATGTCACAACGGTACCATCTGTTGGTCATATCTACTTAATAAGTGCATGGACTACTCGCTGTAGTCAAGGATGTACTGTAACGTTTGCTCTGAACAGGGTACCGCGGTGTGCAGTCCAATAAGCCATAATAACGGATATGTGTATGAACATGAATATGATATGTCAAGAGAACAAGAAAACTAGCGCAGGATTGAGCCGCACAAGAAAAGACATGCTTTCAAATTGTCCAAGTGGGGTTCGAAGCGAATAATATAGCGCCTACTCTTGAACATTTTCCGATAATTTCGTTTGATAAAAAAGCGTTTAGAAGATAGCGAGCATGTTTCAGAGCGATGTTCTGATTGCCAGCAGTTGAAACAGTTAATCGGAAACATTTTATATTTTCATTTGATTTCCCATAATGATCTGTAAGCGAGTGCGAAGCCTGAATCTGCATGTTGTGACAATTTCAGCAAACCAAGAAAAATTGGCCCGATGCCGTTTCTTCTCGACCTTACCCGTCATGCAGTTTTATTAGTCGTGAAGAAAATTCTGGAGTGAGAATTTTGCTTCATCTCAAATAGTTTTTCAAAGTCTGCAATGCTACTCTAATCGAAAATTGAGATTGAATTATGCTCCTGTTCTCAGGGTTATAGGCTCTCCTGGTGTTGGACCAAACAGAGGAGAAAATATGAGGAAAAGCGGAATTGGTTTCGCTGAAAAGTATTACATATATTGAAAGCCATAACTAAATCGAATTCCCCTTCTATTGTACAGTCGAGGCACTCCAATTTGTTTTTTTAACCTCGTTCGGAAAATTATGTTGGTAGCTGATACCAATGCAACGTAAAGCATGCTAATCGACTAAAGCAATTCGAATTTCTGAGAATCTCTGTTCATCTGATGTTAGTTAAGTTGGTATCCCAAAGATTGCCAATACTAATTGATTTTTACAGGCATGTTCTATAGGATATTCATAATCGGTGGAGTGATTGATATTATCGCAATTCTAAACAATTATATCGGAGCTATTTTTCCTTCCAGGAGGTGATGTCGTTCATTTAATCTTGCATTTGAGTTTTTTTTCCGTGATCATAAAAGTGTTTTCGGCCCATGTCAAGCTTACATAAGTTAACGAGACCGCAACTAGCGATTCAGGATTATCAGTAAATTTTGAAATCTGATTTGAGGGTAATTTTGGTCGGTAAATGCGGAAGAAGAAGGTTGAAAGCGATAGATCTAGATGAGGTGCCGACCGAGCTATGTTGAACCCTTTGAGAGATCAAATTGTTTCCCGTATCCTGGACATGGTAACTGCGGATGGAAACAAACAGAAGGGAATGCATGGGTTGCTCCAGCTACTGTCAGATCAGCTGATCGCGCATACCTAAAGCTGTGTCAGGCGCCAGTAGACACGAAACTGAGGATACTGGTGCCGATTTCCCAGGATCAGTTCGGGTTCATTCCTGAAAGGTCCTCGACGGGTTCCTTGTCATGTCTGAGGGGGAATGGTGGAGAAGTACGGGAGAAGCGATAACCCTATTACCTAGCCCTACTCATTAAGGAAAAGCTGCTTGACCGTCTGCTGCGGCCAAGGCCCTGGAAGGCGCTTAGAGAGAAAGAGAAACTGGACGCACTGCTCTCTGTTGAAGGAAATGTGCGATTGGGCTAACAATAAGGCAACTACCCCATACAGTTTATCAAGGGAGTGCATATCGTCGTCACACCGAGTATCAACTGAGCCTGCTGCTCTTCCTGCTAATCCTAGAGGTCATCGTAAAGGGGCGAATGGGGAGGGGGTCATTGGATACCATCCTCTAAGCATACAACATCAAACTGGTAGCAGATAACAGAGGAAAGCTGTAGGGTGTGCTACAATAGCAGGAAGTGATGCTACAAGGTGGCTCCAGCTATCCGTAGAGAAGGCTAAGTTTCTAAGTTCTTAAAGAGTACGAAATTAATCTTGGACAGTTACGGGGAAAACTCAAACGAGGGGGAATTCTCAATACGCGCTTCCTCGACAGGAATGATTGTTGGGGAGAAGGAGGAAAAAAGAGAATGAAGCCATCGCGGATAGTCAGCATCTTTCAGAAACTTCACAAAGGATTCAGGGAATTATAAGGCAAAAAAGAGCCTATAATGTTATTTATTATTTCAGTTGGTTTCTCGACTTTACATGGTCACGAAGTACACATGTTGGCATATCTACTTAATAATTGCACTGGGCTACTCGTTGTAGTCAAGGATGTACTGTAACGCTTTTGGCTTGAACAGGGCTACCGCCGGTGTGCAGTCAATAAGCGATAACAGGTTATGTGCATGAAGGAATAAGAAATGTCAAGAAACGCAGAAAACGACTGCATGATCGAGCGCACAAGAAAATTGCATATCTCCCATTTGGGTAAGTGTTCAGACAAGAATAATATTATCGCCTACTCTTGAGACATTTTCCAGAGATTTCGTTGATAAAGGTTAAAGAAGAGAAGCAGTTTCGAGGCAATGCTCTGATTGCAGCATGTTGAACAATTACGAATCGAAACTTCTTTATAGTTTCCATGTTGATCTTCCCGGTCATGATTCGTAAGCGAGGCGAGCGCTGAAATCTGTGACGGCTGACAATAATGCAACCACAGATTTGGCCCGCATGCTCTTTGTCTCTCCGACCTTACCCCGTCATGCAGTTTTAGATACTTGATCTGGATCAAGTTGTGTGCAATTGCTCTACTAAACCAAGAGAGTATATCCTATAGGGTCAGATGGCTAGTCCTCCGCATATTTTTTTTTACTAGAAAAAAATGAATTACAATAAGATGGATGCAGCCGTATGAAATGAATGTTCGTCAAATTGAGGTGTAATTGCGAAAGCCAAACAAGCCATATTTCAACACAAAAACTGCACCCCATTTCGTGGTACGGTAGCCTAGTCAATTTTCTTTTTATTCCATACAACGAAATATGGGCTACAATGTATTTTTTCTTTCTTTTCCTACGAGAAAATGAAAGGAAAAAGGCATTGTGGTATTCTTATCTCAATCATCGTCGTTCTGGTGAACCTTTTAAGGTATAGAATTTATTAAAAATTGCCTATTAAAGGAATCCTTCTCGGAAAAATCGTGGTTCTATCTCACCTATAAATCACTGGCTTAGGACACATCTTTCACAATAAGAAAGAAAAGAACCAAAAATTGCATTCGTTTTGGTAAAAAAAAAATCGAAAACCGAAACGGTTGTCACGCATTTAAAATACCGCCGGGAATCTCTTAGTAATTCTGACGATGGGAATGCTTCCTATGTTTGGTGCTCGGATGCAGTCACTAGAAACTCTTTCTGGTCTTCTAGCTCATTGTACTTACATCTCACACTTTTACTGCATCCTATTCAATAGATCAATGTGTCTCTACTCTCCAAAATCTCACTCTTTAATACTGTTTGACCCGAGTTTTTCATTGCGTCGTCTGAGACGTGGCCGCCTCAAGGCAGACTTCACTTTGTGCCCCGCTTTGGCTCCGCGCCTCCTAGCTTCGTTGTCTCGGTTTTGGGTGTGGTTTTTGTAAGTTTGTCTCTCTTCGGAAACTGGATCTTTGTGCGTGAAGCTTTGTATGTTGTCCCTAGTCGTCACCACTGACACACTGGTATTGAAAAAGAATGCAAAAACTTTCGGGAAAGACTCCTTTAGGAGCAACGGTGCCGCGAGCGCCTAATCCTTCCTTGTTACTAAGCGAAATACCCCTTTGTTTACCCAGGTAGAGTAGTGTTGCGTCCTATAGCACGCATTGACCATAACGCGGGACACATGCGTCCCGCTCTTTACTTGAGGAGACCCTTTGCTGATTCTTTCAGGTGGAGGTTCCTACAGAGGCATGCGAAACGGTCGAGGAGCAAAGCATGGGGTGACGAACCTGCTCCCTGTGCTCCCTGAACAATGTGTATATAACTACTGATGCTGGATGCATGGGGGAGAATCATAATCGCCTCAATTTACAAATACAGTGCTCACTTTTATGACTTGCAACCTACTTAACTAAGTTCATCATGTTCTGAAACTATAGTCCACAATAGTTCATAAAGCATATGAGCTACAAATTTTTAGATTCGTGAAAAGATTTTAGATTATAGATTTTCATAAAAAAATTGAAAATGCCTCTGTAAAAGTATAGGGCTCGCTGGATAGAAAATTAAAAGTAACATTTCTTCTTCCTTTCAAATTAGCGAATTTGAGAGGTGTTTACTGAAAGCACATTACCTCTTCAATGTGCCTGGCCTTTCGCTTTAGTCGGTCAAATGCTTCATAAATGCTCAATCTCTTGGTTCTCTTGCTTACTAACAAAATAATGTGTACTTCAGATATTTATGCAAGCAGAATCTCCAGAAAAGCGGCAAATGGCATTTGAACACGAAAGACCCCCATCAATCGCTTCAAGGTTTCAACACCCCAGTGTGCCAGATTTATCCCAAACTTCTGTTTCTGCGCCAAAGATATCATTTGGGGAATGGCCACTCAGCTCCAAGTATTGTTAGAGTCCTTGATAGGCCCTTGACTGGATGAGCTCCACGAAACAACTCGCCTCTGATTGGCTCGTAGGAAGATGAGAACGGCATGAGGTTCAACATTTGGTGCTGCAGAATAGACCTCCATTAGATCTTGTCAAGCTCTTTCAAGTTCGGGTCACTCCCTCGACGAGAGTGAGACGAGCTGTATGGATATTGAAGTTGACGGACGGTATACCAGAAAAGTGCCACTGGTGTTCAGCTGGAGGAACTTCGGTGGTGGATCTCAGATGGTTTGGGATGTTTCGGGTGAAGCTTGTGAAAGGGTCATTTCATGGGCTCCGGTCCAGGGTCGGTCCTGTCGTTGCTACTTTTTGGATTTTTTCTACGACCCCCCCCCTTCATGGGCGATTTGGTGCGACACCTTGCTGTGGGTACCAAGTAGGGATCTAGATATACTTACAACAATAGTAATTCATATGATTAACTTTTTAGCAAGAATGCTGAATTTCGGTTTCAAAGTTTATAAAGACGAGTTACCGTTCCGAAAAGGTAGCGTTCGGCATGGAATTGGGACATAAATCCATTTATGATAGCGGACCTCATGGGCTGAAGGTTAAAGGTTTTGAAGCGTTTCTTGGAGCGGTATACGTTTCTGTTTGGGGGATCGCGCGATCGTGACCGCAGTGGGGCGCGCGTTTGTTGAAGCGGAGAACAGATGTCGAAAGGGGACGAAATCGAGAAAAATAGAAGAATTTTCCTGCGGGAATTCCATGGTTCCTCGGTAAGACGGAGGGTGATTTCTGCGATCACAGACGGTCATCCCTTCTTAATTATAGCGGATTTGTTCTTAAACACTCTGAAAATGATTAATCTTAGTGACAAGAACGGAATTTGCTTACATTTTCATCTTCTCTTTTTAGAGGCTATAACTTCTCTTCATTATCGAGCTTTCGCGGCCGGAAGTTATTTGATTTAAGAAATTCACTTCATTCTCTCTCGCAATCATGGCTAAAATTTGAGCGGGAAGCTAATTTAGTAAAATTTAGCACGGATTAAACTTTTTTCTGTTGCAAGCGCGACTTTTCGAAGCTTTAAGCGACCATAACTTCTTCAAATTCATTTATTGTGGAAGGCTGGACCCGCTGATGAAAACAAGATACAGCTTCCTATATACCCAAGGTATTTGAAGCGAAGTAATTCAAAATTAGTCCAGTTGCTTACATCCTTTGTTGAAAGGGCGCGCCAAGAAAGAAATATCTCAAGGACAGGCATTAATGTTCGGGGAAAGAGGGAAAGGGCGGGAACGAGAAATCCGTTTTTTTAGGTTTCACTGCCCGTAACCTTCAGGGAAAACGAGATCGTGCTGACGATAGGATGTGTCAGAATGCTTTGTGCATGTGCTTGCACTGGTATCCCCCTGTCTTGGTGTGCGCCACGCCTCGGTCGCACTCCTGATTCGCTGATTCATTTGGAAGGTCATTCGGAAGTAAGGGGTTTATAAACGCTCTAGCATCAATAATCTTGCGTAAACGTAATGTGCTGACTATTGTCCATGTTGTCTTAGGCAATACTCCAGCTACACTTTAGTTTCAAATGTGGTTACGTGCGTGGACCCATGTCATGGTGGGGGCACTTTTTTGTACGATGCTACATGTCTTGCAGCTGCTGTTTCTGCGAGTATTCCTTTCTCATGCTCTTCCTGAAACATGGTTATGATCAGTAGGGACATTACCACAAATCCCGCTGCCGGCCACCGAGAGAGTACGACCCCCCCCTCTGGGTCCATCCAAGTACGACCCCCCGTTGCTACTTGTAGCAACATAGGGTTGACCCTGCTCCGGTCTCTGGCGGGGGATGGGAGGTTCTATTGCAAAATTTCCCTCGACGCCTTGCTTGACCGTATTGGGCGAGATGGTGCCGCCCTGTCGTACCCCTCTTGTAACTTCGATGATGACTTCGTTGTAAAATAGCGAGATTCTAGTCGCAAAGCTGCTGTGGAGCTCACGATCAATCCTTATGTGCTCAGTAGGAATGCACTGGTTGCCTAACATGGGAGGTCTTTCAGGGCAAGCCACGCTTTTTCGAAACGGTCTCTTGCATATTGCAGGGATGCACGGCTTTAGCAGTACCAAAAAAGAAGCATAAGGTACTGTTAATGATTCGATCTCCCGTGGCGACTAAATTTTGCATTTGGGTTGGCGCCTTAGAATTGGTGCCAAATCGTGCCAAATTTCACAATCAGGTGTCACACTCATCGTCAGGACCATTATGAAGCCATCAAGTGGCCTCCAACCTTAATCGCAAATTTAGTCGCCGCGGGGGACCGAACCATCGAGGATATCATTCACCACTTTTTGATACTACTGATAAAGATCAGCGGAAACGAAACACGGTTTTGTGGCCTACACGCGTCCCTACAATAAGCAAGAAACCATTTCCAAAATGCGCGGCTTGCCGTGAAAGACCTCCCTTGTAAGGTTCGATGGCCGCTTCTGTTTCCACAGAGTCGAGGCCGTTCTTCAATTCGATGAACGTAAGGCAAATCGGCATCCTATACTCTCGCGATACTTCCATGAATCACGTAACCGTGTGGATATGGTCGGTCATGTTGAATCCCCTACGGAATCTTGCTTGCTCACATGGCTGTCCTTGCATCTAGTATTCTGCCGATCCTGTTGAGAACGGCTTGAGTGAACAGTTTATAAAATACAGACAGCAGACAGTTTGGGCGATAGTTGCCAATGTCGT